GGTCCCAGAGTGAGAAGTTTAAAGGGGGGGTGGGGTGGGAAATAGGCAGATGTACTATGTTCTTTTAACTCCCACACTCCTCAGTCTCCTGAAGCTGGGACCCAAGCTCCCCGCTCCAGGGAAGAGACCCGGGAGGCCAAGGTCACCACAGACCTCCCTCCCTTCCTGTGGCTAAGACCAAATGGCCAGTCTCCTGCCACACAGCCTCCACAGCGAGCCCTGGGGATTTCTCCTGAAACCCTCTTTTTTTGATGCCTTTGGAACCAGCCTGTCGCCGACTCTCTTTCTCTACCCTTTCATTGGGCCCTCTGCCCAATTTAAAGGCCTAGTAGAACTAGGCCTTTAAATGCCTCTCTTTCCCGTCCAGGCCTCATTTTGTCTTTTCTCATTCTCTACGCTCTCATCTGCTGCCCTGACTGCAGCTGCGCCCCGGGTCCGTGTCTCCGGCCCAGACCACAGGCCCGAGCTCACAGACCAAGTGTCCGCGTGCTTGGTGGGCCCTGCCATCAGGTGGCCCTCGGGCACCTGCCACGTACTGTCCAGCCTGGCACTCGTGAGCTTCCTTCACCAAATCCCCCCCTCCTCCTGGCCCCGTTGCAAGGGCACTGAGTTGGCCCCGCAGGGACCTGCGAGTTACTCTGGGTTCTCCCTCTCATCTGCCACATCCACCCTTCCAGTCCCTCCTTCCCCTGTGTCTCCTCTACCCTCTTGTCACAGATGCTAACTTAGCCTGCTTCGGGCTCATCACCTCACCTGGACATTGAGCAGCAACCCCCCCGTGGGTGCCTCCCTCGACCCACGTTATCCCACCCAAAGAAACTTTTTAAAACACGTATATATGGGGTCCCATGCCATATCCCAAGGCTCAGAGGGCCAGGCGGCTGCCAGGGCACAGATAGAACCTCGCCGCGGTCCTGCCTTGGCCCCTCGCCCAGCGCCTCAGCGTCTGCATAGGACCACAGTTCTTCCAAACACTCTGTGGACTCTCTTAGCTCCGTGCCTTTGCTCATGCTCACTGAACCTTCTGTGAACCGTCCACTGCCCTTCTCACCCTGCTGAGGTCCTTATGATACTTAAAGATGCACCTCCAATGTCACTGGGCACCTGTATCCTTAGACAGTGGGCTTTCCAGGCTGAACCTTATCTGTGTTTGCCTGTCACGTAATAGTGGCTCAGAAGGCATCTGTGGAAGGGAAGGGAATATTTTTTTTTTTAAATAGAAGTCTTTAATCATATCTAATTTAGTGAGAATATAAAGCCTACTGGCAGCTATCTTAGTCCGATGGCTGTTTTAAAAAATTACGACAAACAGTGGCTCAAAGCAACACAGATTTATTCTCCTACAGTTCTGCAGATCAGAAATCTAAAATGAGTGTCCCACGTGTAATCACGGCATCGGGAGGGCTAAAGACTCCCGAGAAAAGCCATTTCCTTGCCTTTTCCAGCTTTCAGAGGCTGCCTGCTTTCCTTGGCTGGTGGCCCCTGCTCCCATTTTGTCCCTTAGAAGCCAAGTCCTTCTTTCCCTTGTAATTGTGTTGGGCCCAGCCAGAGAATTCAGGATAACAGCCCCATCTCAAGATCTTTAATGTAATCACCTTTCGCCATGTGAGGTGACCCATTCACAGATTCTGGGAATTAGGCTGTGAACATCTTAGAAGGGTCCTTATTCTGTCTCCTAGAGCAGCCTTTTTCAGAAATGAGGTGCCGAGCTTTTGAAACCACCAGTTAAGCAATGTTTGGGTTTCATTCTGAGTAAGGATGAAATTAGACCAGCCATGCATTTCATTGCACACAAAGGAAGTTGTTCAACTTGCCTCTGCCCCAGGTCTGAAAGAAAGAACTCGCTGCCTCTTCCAGATTCCCAGGTGGGGTGTTTAGCGTGGCTTGGGACAGGTCACGGGGGAATCACATAAGAGAGACGTGCCAGTGGCTTGACCTCCACAGTGAGGCGAGAACTCCTGTTTTTTCCTGGGAAGCCGATGAAAGCCCTGGAGGGCTAGTTGCAGGACTCACTTGCTGTCAGGAACTGACAGATTCCTACCTCCCTGATCTATGAGCCTGGTACCTGAGCGGCGACAGGAAAAGACAAAGCTGTAAAAAAGAATTTTCAGAATCCCCCAGACAAAGCCTGCGGCCGCCGATCTCCTCCTTTGAGAAGATGTGGGTTCCAGATGGTTGCCTTAGGCATTAATTGCTTTCCCTGGAGCCAGAAGAAAATGAAGATTAATAATAATAATTTTTTTTAAAAGATTACTCCTCAGGGGCCGCATGTGAAAGAACAGAGGGCACAGAGCTGCAGTTTGAAAACAATGATCCATGGCTTCTAGATCAGGGCTGGTTCCATCTCCCGGATGGTAACCTTGCAGTTGCTACCCTTGCAGCCTGGCCAGCAGTCCCGAAGAGCAGGCTCGGTCTTGGAGGCTTTACCTCATCGAATGTCAGAGCTGGACAGGAACCTTGGAAATCATGTTTCTCAACTCTCTCACTTGGAGATGAGGTTAGACTCCATTGCCCAAGGTCGTGTAGCTCAGTGGACTCAGGAATGAGATAAGTACAAAAAGGAGGGTGTGACAAGCTCTTACTTATCCTTTGTGCTGCAGAATTAAATACTGTGTTTAGACACAAGTCCTGGGGCCCAGAGGGCCAAGCAGGCTTTTGAGCTGGATGGACCATACAGAGTGGATGGGGCAGGGTCCGTCATATAGTCTGGGGAGACCAGGGAGGGGTCACAAAGCGAGGGGAGATACCATGAGTGGAGACCTGCCTTTCCAGAACAGAGGGGAGAGCTCCGTGGTTGGAATAAGGGTGCTGGAAGAGTAGGTGGGACAAATTCTGGAACTCTAGAAATCCAGACAGGTTTTGGACTTCGTGTGGGTGATCATAGACCCAAAGAGATTTGGCCTCAGAGAAATGGCCGCTGAACATAGAATTTTGAAGGAAGATGGTTGTGTGTGGTGAGACACCACATGTATTCTTTTAGGATCCATCTAGGAAAGAAGAACCCAGAAAGTTGGGGGCCAGAAACAGGGCTTTCCTTGAGCGTGGTCTCCAGAAGGGAGGCCTTCTCTCATCTCCTTTTTAAATAATATGTTTTCTTTTTTTTTTTTTTTTAAGATTTTATTTATTTATTTGAGAGAGAATGAGAGAGAGAGAGCACATGAGAGGGGATAGGGTCAGAGGGAGAAGCAGACTCCCCGCTGAGCAGGGAGCCCGATGTGGGACTCGATCCCGGGACTCCAGGATCATGACCCGAGCCGAAGGCAGTCGCTTAACCAACTGAGCCACCCAGGCGCCCTAAATAATATGTTTTCTTGATGGTGGTTGAGACTAGAATGGGAAGGCCTTAGGAACACAGTGTAGAACAAGACTATGCTCACCACTGAGTCTGGGCCCAGCTCCTCGCCCAGACCCACCCCCCCTCAGCCCACAGTCCTGAAGCCTGTTGGCACCTCTGACCAAGAGCCAGCTTACCCACAGGAAATTGGGATGCAGCCCCGATTCCTAAAGGAGGAAGGAGCACTTGGTTAGTACTTGTATGGCCAGGCCTGGACTGGGTATTGGGGGTAACTAAGGTCCAGATCATCTTCACAGAGCTTTAAGGCGTCGGGAATACAAACTCATAAACATCCTGATGCACCCGGTGGGAAGGGCAGTGTGTCCGGGTTGCCATGGCAGCGCTGGGAAGGATGCCTGCCCAGCTCTGAGTCCCGCACCGCGACAAGCGCGAAGAGACAGTGCGAGCACACATAGGGAGGACGCCTGAGAGGTGGTAGGGCTGCAAGGGAGGATGAGTTCAGGACATTTTCAGGAGGTAAAACAGGCCAAACGTGGGGATTTGGAGGGGGGGGGATGGGGGAGGCTGGAAGGCCTCTGGGTTCTAGCCTGGAGGACACCAACCGAGATAGAGGATGAGGAAGGAGAGGGTTGGCGGGGAGCAGGTATTGAAGCAGGTGTGGACAGGCTGAGGCTGAAGTGCCCTGACCTGCAGCCGGGCTTGGAGAGCCCCACCGCGCATGGCACGCGATATGGGGCAGGCTGACCGCCTCCGTCCTCACGGTGGCAAGATCCCTCTGCCTCCCCAAAGAAGCCAAGGATACCTTGAGGAGAGTGATTATCATCGTCTGAACAGACCGCCAGTTCTTTCGTTAAGAGGAATCCTTAAAAGCCCATTCATCTGCGGTGTTGTTTACAGACAGTGTCCTGGCTTAAGCAACATCTACAAAGAAATCTTTATGATCCACATGGGTAGACCCGGGCATGTATTCTTCTGAAACACTTTGATCTTTAAACCACTGTCCTCCGATAATACGGTGAGAACTTGCGTCGTACAGCCCGGCCCTTTTGAAGCCGGGCACCGTCCCAGTCGTTATCCCTGTCTTCGGTCAAACAGATGCTCAAGTCCAACGCCAGCCACTCGCTCCCCAAGGCGTGTGAGCTCCCAGCAGAGGGGGAGCTGCCACTGTCCCCCTGAGCTCTGGAGCGGAGCGCCACTGGACGGGGTCAAATGCCTTTGACGGGATCTCAGTCTGTGCTGCATCCTTGTGGGGCAGGCCACCCGGGGACCGCCCGTCCCCTCGTTCCAGCGGCTGGGGGTCTGCTCGTACTCCGGGCACATGTACACATCAGAGCCTCTCGTTCCGCCCCCGCTGCACCACCTTGCCACAGTTCTCCTCCATAATCACAGTATTTGTTGTTCCTCGAGATAGAAGGCTCATAAAAAATACTGGGCTTTGTTAGGGGCCATAAGAGATTCCAGGAGCTCGGGGCCCTGACTTTGGGAAACACTGTAGTTATTTTACTCAGCAACGAATTCTCAAATCCATGGAGTTGTTCCTCTGTTTTTTAGGTAGCTGTTGAAGTTTGAATTTTGTTTTTTTAACCATTGCATACATACTCTGTTTACCACTGACCTGCTGGCTGCCTGCTCAGCTAACACGTAACTAGAGCGTGTGCTGTTAGAGGTTCCTTTTCTAATGCACTGATAAATGTTGTTTGCACAGAGATTTTGCTTATGTAGCAAGAGACAAAGACACAAGAATTTTGAAATGTCATGTGTTTCGATGTGACACACCAGCAAAAGCCATCGCCACAAGTCTCCACGAAATCTGTTCCAAGGTAAGGTGGGTCAGGGCGCAGTGGTGCGTCTCCCTGTCTTTTCTCACCGCCTGAGCAGGGAAGCGGGTGTGGTCCGGGTCTCACACTGGTGACGTTCTGCTGCTTTAGCCAGAGTCACAGAGCCTCAGAGCCTCAGAATGAGGACAGGCAGCTGGGCATCGCCGGACTAGCGCCCCCTCCTTCCCTCCAGCAGAGCAGTCCTGAAAGGAACATCCCCATCCTCTGCCTGGGATCTCTGTTGACCTCCATTAACAGGGTCTTGTACTTTTCAGGAGACTGTTCTATTAATCAGCAGCTCTGGCTGTTCTAGAGTTCATCCTTGCGTAGACCTGAAATCATCCTCTCTAGAACATCCACGTAGTTACATGAGATATGTGATCTAGAGCAACAGAGAAAGATTCCTCCATTTTTGTCTCTTTGCCTGGGCAGCCCTTTACCGTTTGAAGACATTTGAAGCTGTTGGCTGTACCTGTACGTTTGGGGGCGCTAGATAGCTGTCCAGTCTTCCTGCTCCTGTCTTCCTCCTTTCTCCAGAAGCCCCATCTCTTTTGGGTCCCAAGGTTACGAGGCTCCTACCCCTCTTCTTCTGCATACTCTAGTTGGGTCCCCCTGAATGAACACAGTGTCCCACGGGCAAGCCAGTGGAGAAAAGACCACGGGCCACTCTGTCCCTTGACCTTCAAGGAGTACAGTACGGGGGTGATTGATGTTTTTAGCAACCACATCACGTGCCAGCTTGTGTTCAAATAGCTGTTGGCCAGATCCCCAGGGCACTGTCATGGATGTTCTGTGGCCAGGCCTTTCCGCTCCCTAGACTGACTTAATCTGAACATGGGACTTGGCCGTCACCTCTGCTGGATGTCACCTTTCTGGTTTGAGGTGGATGTCAAGTCCTGGCCTCGTTACAGTGCTCCCTCAGCTACCCTGCCCAGGTTGTAGCCCGGTGTCTGAGCAGCAGAAGCAAGGCAGGTGCCAGCCACGTTTCCTAAGGGATGGGTAGGAGCTGGGACCAGTCTGCTGCCCTAATCCCGGCGGCCATCCTCTATCCCACTCCGGCGTCGACAGGCCCATGCAGCATGCCCCTTCCTTGTCATTGCCTTCATTCAGTCACGCAGCCGATAGCTCGGAATGCCATTTACGGGGTACTGTTCTAAGAACACAGCAGAGACTGAAATGGGGGAAAACAGTCTTTGTCCTTGTGGAGCTCGTGTTCTCGTGGCAAGCCCCCAGAACACGGCCCAGCACAGAGGAAGTGCTCGGGAAAAGGTACTGCTGTTGTTGGTAGCGGCCCCCTGGCCCGCCGTCCCAGGCACGGACCGAGAGAGGGCTGGCGGGGAGCTCTGGGGCCGAAGCAACTTCTGTTCCACCTGGAATGCAAAGCTTGGGGCTGGGAATGACGATGTGAGTGACTTGTGGGGCCACCGAAGGGGGGCATTCTTTCAGTCCCTAAAGCAACAGCACTGAGTGAAGAGGAGCGAGAGGTGATGCTCGTGGCTCCTCGCAGCAGACCACCAATTTCGTAGACAGCTGACGGGTTTGGGAACAGTCCTGAGAGCAGCGAATATTTCCGAGCACTGACACTGAATCCTCAGAACTGACATAACATTATCACTGGGGACATCAATACTAGGATTCCCAGGTGTGAGGAGGAAATGAGGCACAAGAGGTCAGGTGACTGGCCCAAGGTCACACAGCTAGTAAGTAGCGAAGGTGGGATTTGAACCTACAAACACTATCCCCAGAGCCCTGAAGAGTGCTCAGCATTCAGGAGCAATGGGACAAGTCCGTAGCTGTGGGCAACGGTGGGCCAGCAGAGGGTATCTGTTTGGGTTGTTTCACTAGAGGCGGGAGCCTGCTGAATGGGGGAATCGTTTCCGAGCAATCGGGAGACTGTGACTCAGAGGGATAGTCCCTTGCCTGTTACCCCTGGGGAGAAGGAGCATAGTTCTCAAAACAGCTCAGCAGTACAGGGGCGGGAAGGCAGGCCGTAGACTAAAGCCTGTTTGACTCGGAAGCCAGGTCAGCTCAGACCCTCTCCTGGCAGGACTAGCTGAACACATGGGGTCTGTAGCCACAGACCACAGGTGTGTTTTCTCTTCTTCAGATTATGGCCGAACGGAAGAATGCCAAAGCCCTGGCCTGCAGCTCCTTACAGGAAAGAGCCAATGTGAACCTCGACGTGCCCTTGCAAGGTAGGTCAGCGGCGGCCGCTCTCCTCATGCTGGCGCCGTCCCGCTGTCTGTCCTAGTCAGAGCCAGAGGCCCTTCCCTGCGTCTTGAGAAACCATGCTCAAGCCAACAGATGCTCGCTGAGCAAGCACCCGGGGTCCTCCTGGGCACAGAGTTAACTTTGTGTCAATAGGATGAGGCACAGAAGGCCAGGATGAGTTTTCTTGTTACTGGACAAGATGAAAGAATATTATCTTTAGTGGTTTTATAACTCAGGTACAGCGTGGGGTAAGAACCAGCTAGTTTAAAAATATGTGGGTTGATGTGGGGAAAAAAATGTTTTTCTTAAGTATAATGATGAACGTAAAGCAGGCTTACCGTGGTGATTGTTTTTGCAGTATATACAAGTATCAAGTCACCGTGTTGTACACCTGAAACTAACTTAATGCTCTCTGTCAGTTATGACAGTTATACCTCTGTCATAAAATAAAAATACAGATATTTGGGGGGATTCTGTGTAGTTCCTTCTCGTGCCTCTGTGCCCTGAGGGATTAAGTCTTCCCCGGGCATCAAGCATGCCTCACAAACAGGCCATCAGAAGCGGTTGTTCAGCGTGTGTCAGAAAGACGGTGGCGGCTCGACTGCACCCATTGCCCTCGGCGCTCCCCCGCGCCCCCCCTGCCAGAAGGGCAGGCTGACCGGGATTTCGGTGGGCTGCCGGGACCCCCGCGTCTGCTAGGAGAGCGGCTCTCCTCCCAGCACAGGAGCTGCCTCTTCCTCTGGAAGCGGGGCACCGTGGCCTGGGGGAGGGGGGACCCTGGGCCATCCAGACCAAACGCAGAGCGGTGGCTGTGTTGAGGTGTGTGCTGGAACCACAGCGAAAGATCTGTTGCTTTTGTTCTCTGTAGTAGATTTCCCGACACCAAAGACTGAGCTGGTGCAGAGGTTCCACGTGTGGTACTTGGGCATGTTACCCGTCGACAAACCAGTTGGTACGTGCAGCACTTATTGCCCTTTCCCTGTGCGAGTGTTCGGGAGCCCGTGGGAGGAGCCCCCCCCGCCCGGAGGGTGGGGGCTGTTGTTCTATCCCCTTTCCTGGTCTTGAATCAGGCCCCTGCCCTGTGAGCAGCCATAGCACGTAAACGGTCCTGATCAGAAGAGCAATAGGGGACAGGCTAAGCTGCTTGGTCATGTTGTCCACAGAACAGAGGGACTTGAACATGGCAGACACGTGGTTCTCATTCATGCAGCTCTCCCAAGACGCGTGATCCAGGGCTCTGGAGGGCTCTGCTCTTCTCAGAGGGAGCTTCCGTCTCTGGGGCCGGGGTACCTGCTCTGGTCCTTACTGACCACCGGGCAGGGGGAAGGGGCTGAGGGAGCCCTCGTGCTTCCCTTTCCAGGGGTGACTGAAAGCAGCACAGCCTGCAGTCAGCTCCCATCCCAGGGGTTAGAACTTACCAAGGTGACAGGAGGCTGGGAGATGAAGCCTTTCCCTGGGTAGAAAAGGCTGAGGAGAAATCAGAACCGTCGTGCCCTGCTTGGGAGAAATGGTACAGCCGCTTTGGAAAAAAGTCCGGCAGGTCAAACACGCGGTTACCACTGGACTCAGCAGTTCTGCTCCTGGGCATATCCCCAAGCGAAATTAAAACATCTATCCACACAAACATTCGCAGCTACATTTATTCGTCAGAGTCAGAAAGTGGGAACAAATGTCCGTCAACTGACAAAACAGATTAATAAAATGTGATACTGCCAAAAAATAAAGCTGTGATGCCGCCATACCGTGTAATTTTATTTGGTGGTAAAGAGGCATCAAGTACTGCTACAACATGGATCAGCCTAGAAGAGAGGATGCCACACGAAAGCAGCCAGAAACAACCACATACTGCGTGATTCCATGTGTACGAAACGTCAAGAAGAGACAGCCCTCTGGAGATAGAAATTGGATCAGTAATTGCCTAGGACCAGGGGGCTGGGAAGAACTAGATGAAACCCTGAAAGTGTACAGGGTTTGTTTTCGGGCTGATAAAAATGTTCTAAAATTGATTGTGGTGATGGTTGCACCACTCTGTGAATACACTACAAACTCTCGCATGGTACACTTTAAATGAGTAAATTGTATGCAACTGATAGCTCAGTAGAGTCGCTCTCCCACCTCCCCCCCACACACTGCCGCAGAAAACAGCTGTGCCAACACCCAGCCAAGGGGCCCCCTTGAACAGTGCATTCTGCTCACGTACAAGGCCTTCCACACTTGGCCTCGTTTAAGTGGCAAAGTAAGGTGCAGGAAGATTGGGGTATTCTAGCAAGTGCTGGCTTCTGTTCCGTTCCTTTTCCCAAGGCTCCTTGCTTAGGAAAAGGTAGCATTTGTTTAAGTACTATCTATGTACTCAGGGCTAGGGACTCTTTGGAAAGAAAGTAGCACCGTGGTCCAGTTAGACTGGACATCACCCACTACACCTCTCCAGGGGTTCTCATGACCCTTCTTTCTGTTGAAAAAGCTGGCATTTTTTTTTCTTTTAAGCAATGAAATGCTCAAAGTGTCTTCTGGGGCTACAAAAAAAAAAAAAAGATCAGTTTGGGTGTAGCTGCTATTGGGTGATTTGGGCCCACGCTGGAGAGTGATAAATGGCTTTAGGACCTTGTTCAGCAATCTGTTCCATCCACAGGAATGGATACTCTGAACAATGCCATAGAAAATCTTATGACCTCATCCAACAAGGAGGATTGGCCGTCAGTGAACATGAATGTGGCCGATGCTACTGTGACCGTCATCAGTGAAAAGGTGAGCAGGATCGGACATGGGGTTGGTCTGTGTGGGTTAGGGTGAAACTTTGCATACAGTAATCTCCCGTGAAGCACAGACACATAGCCAAGGCTTGACCTCTGGAGGGTGGGGTGCGGGGGGAGGGGTGGTTATGCTTAATTGTGAGTAAAAGGCCTGCATTTAAAAAAAAAACAACAACTTTTTTTTCTGCCTTTGTGTCTGGATCTCTGCATCACTGTGCTCTTCTTTGGACTAAGAAGCTCCTCTTCTGGTGCTCCCAATTCTTTCTTCCTCTTGTGCCCCAGAGATGGAAATCGTTTGCTAGAGGTCCCTGTACGACGCCGGCAGTCACTCCTTGCAGGGTTTGGTTTTCTGGGCTACTCTCCAGGCTTCAGTGGGGACAGGGCTGTTTGTCTGGAGTTGGGGTACAGGAGCTGCTTCGGTTGTGGGAGGTCCTGGGGTTTGTTCTGTCAGGAGTAGCAGGGGCTAGTGGTCATTGACAGAGGCCAGCTTTAGCCTCAGACCAGATTATCCCAGTTTTATGGTTGAGGAAACTGAGGCACAAGGAGATCGACTAAGTGCCTCACAACAGCTAGAAGCAGCAAGCTCAGGATTCAGTCCAGCAGTCTGCTCCAGACTCCTGACCACTTTTTAATTCTCCCTCTGTGAGGCACCTGTCACGGAAAGACCCCCAAGGCGTTGGCCTGCTCTTGATTCTGTCCACTGGGAGGTCACCTTCGAGCCCAATGCACCTTCGCAGAAGGAGTTAGGAGTCAGATGCTCACTGACCCTGCCCCTCAGCCTGCCAAGCTGGATCGTCTTAAGTCTTTAAACGTGTCACACCCTTTTCTCCCTCAGCATCTGCAAGGGCTGCCCCCTCTGTGCCCCGCCCCCCGCCCGACCCTTACCTGGATCTCAGCCTAAACTTCCTAAGCATCCTTTCTCCCAAGAAAATTTCATGGCGCCTCAGGCTCCTTTCATTTGCTATAAAAGAATTCTGTAGCACCTGAGTGAATATTTAGTAAGTCAAGAGTTAATGATCCAAAAGTCAACATTCTGGATGTGTTTACTAATTCAAAAATTGCATATGGTTGCTGCAGAGGATGTGGTGTTCATAAGAATGAATTCCGAACATTTCTTTACCCTGCATCATATGGATACCATATGGACACCAGTTTGGGGAGGGGGGGAGTGATTTGGCAGCTTTTCTACACGGTTTTAGATAGAAATACGATTCAGCGTACTATTAGCATGGGAAGGAGAACCGGATGGAAAGAGATGTCATGGCTCCTTTTCTCTTGGTGCTCCGAGGTTTCCAGCGGGTTCGCCTGGCCGTACGGGTTTTGAGCTGCCGGGTGCCCTGTCTGAGCAAAGCCTACCGAGTTTGCGTGGCCCCGCTGCTGCCCGCCATGGACGCCCAGGCCCGCAGTGTGGTAGCCAGAGAACAGAACACACGCAACCGCAGTGACGTTCCGAGCGGACTAAACGTCGATGAGACACCCGCATAGCAGGGATGGCCTCTCCAGACACATTTAGAAACTCGCCTTTCTAGAAAAATACGAGTGCTTGCTAAATCCAGGCGAGCTATATATTTTTATGCCGGTGTCTCTGCTCTGCTCCGGGCTTGATTCTGCGGTTTAAGAAATGAGCCCGTTTAGTAGGACTGCTGCCTGGCTTCACAGAGAGCGGGCTGCTCAACAGCGTGTCTTGCAGAATGAAGAGGAAGTCTTGGTGGAGTGCCGTGTGCGATTCCTGTCCTTCATGGGCGTCGGGAAGGATGTCCATACGTTTGCCTTCATCATGGACACCGGGAACCAACGCTTCGAGTGCCATGTTTTCTGGTGCGAGCCTAACGCGGGTAACGTGTCGGAGGCCGTGCAGGCCGCCTGCATGGTGAGTGGTCCCTCTGGGGCGCTGCCGCAGCTCTGCACCTCTGCTCTTGTGCTGCGTGCAGGAAATCAGTGCGGAGCTCCTCGTTTAAAGGAAAATAGGTCTCCTCTCTAAAGGGACGCTCTGCTGGGTCGCACCCTCAGTCCTGCGGACACGATCCATCATGGCGAGCAGTTGGCCATCTCAGCAGCCAAGGGTGCCGACAGGAAGCCGGGCCAATGGAGCCACATTCTGTAGGGACTCCGGTACCCCTGAAAGCAGGGATCATCAAGTCTACAGATTGGAAGAGTCTTAATTCTTGATCCCTGATTAACTTCAGTATACGGTCAGAAAATGTTGGGCATGTAGAAGTTGGTGCTGTTTAGAACCAGCTTAGGACTGAAAAAAATTCAGGGTGTTGATTGATTTTTATTTCAGATAGTTGGTTTCAGCACGTCAGTCTTGTATATTTAATTTGTATCTGTGAACTTGGTCCTTACAATGACCAAGGGTGGTTGTTAGTTCTGTTTTATTTATGAGGAAACAGAGGCTCAGAGGAAAGGTGATAAGAGACAAAGTCTGTGTTCAACCCCGAGTTTTTCAGGTGACACAGCCGCGCTCTTTGTACCACGTATAGGATTTCAAACAAACAAAAATACCTCATCCTTCATTCTGCAAATACCCTTTGAGCACCTATGACGCTGGGCACTGAAAAAGTTCTGTGTTTTTTTTTTTAAGGTTTTATTTATTTATTTGACAGAGACACAGCGAGAGAGGGAACACAAGCAGGGGGAGTGGGAGAGGGAGAAGCAGGCTCCCTGCCGAGCAGGGAGCCCGATGTGGGGATCGATCCCAGAACCCTGGGATCATGACCTGAGCCAAAGGCAGACGCTTAACCGGCTGAGCCATCCGGGAGCCCCAAAAAAGTTCTAGAAAAACTGAGGGAACAGTATGAATGTAGGCATCAAGACCTGGGGTGGGTGGTAATTCTTCGCAGCAGCAGGTTGGGTAGCTGGAACTGAGTAAAGGAGGTGAGGTCATGCCAGCGTGTTTATCTTCAGCAAACATTGTTAAGCAGGAGCGATGAATTGATACTGGGTTTTAAAAGCATACTCCCCCCAAAAGAGAAACTAAAGGAGGGGACGGGTTGAAAGGACAATGACCAGGAAGCCACCGGTCCACATGAGGGTTCCGGAGGGTCTAAACCAGGAGTGTTGGCAGTGGAGTAAGCAGGAGCAGATGGCTTGGAACGTGGTAGAGAATCGCCTGGCTGGGGATGAGCAATACTGAATTTGAAGCACCGGTTCTTCATTTAATTCAACCCACCGTTTATGGGCTGGACTCTGGGGAGTTGGAGTAAGAGCCGATCCTTGCATTACAGAGCTTAGCTACAGGGGGACACACGTGAGCCGGTTGTGGTGTAAAAGGTGCTGTAAGGAAAAGTGTAAGACCACACTGGACTGAGAAGTGGCCAGGAGGAAAAAGAAACAGAGACCCCGAAAGCCAACCAAGGTCTGACAGGGAAGGGGTAGTTCAAAGCACAACAGTAAGGGAGTTTGCTTCTTGTTTTATGGCGGGGGGCGGCGGGGGGGGGGCTCACACATTTTTTAGACTGAGGGAAATGAGCTAGCAAAGCTGGATTGAAATGGGGGTCATAGGGGCGCCTGGGTGGCTTAAGCGTCTGCCTTCAGCTCAGGTCATGATCCCAGGGTCCGGCGATCGGGCCCATGTCGGGCTCCCTGCTCAGCGGGGGGTCTGCTTCTCCCTCTCTCAAATAAATAAAATCTTTTTAAAAAAAAATGAAAAGGAATGGGGGTCACATATACAGTTGGGGCAAGGTCTTGGTGGTAGATTAAGAGCCTAGGGCTGGGGTTTAGCCTCCTCACTGGGTCACGGTGACTTCGAGACTAGCCAGATGCTAGGGGTCCAAGAGAAGCAGGTGGTGGTGACGGAGGTGGCGTGAGTTCCCTGTTGTTTACGTGTGGTAGACACGCAGTTGCCGGGTGAAGAATGAAGCAGAGGATGAAGTGGGCTCTAGATGGTGAAGGCGAGGCAGGAGGAAGGGAGCCAGCTGACTTAAAGGGCACCTTTGAGTGGAGAGGCGAGGAGGGAGGAGCGAAGGCGAGAGCCGGTGCCGAGTGCTCAGGGGCTGGCGTCCTTCTGCCCACAGGCCTTTGTCAAGTGCCCTGGAGCCGGGAGGCTAGTAATAGTAACTCAGATCTGCCCGCAAGAGAAGGGACAGGACTGGGGGGGGGGGTCCAGGTGGACCCCCGAACCAAGCACGGGAGACTGAGCTGGGATGAAGACAGTAAAAGCATCCAGTCAAGCAAAAATGGAGGATGACTATTTAGGTATTTCATGAAACTGAAAAAGGATCGTAACAGATGGTTGTAGTCGTAAAATGAATGGCTTTCAGCCTTAATTGTACATTTTAAATGCTGGTGACAAATAATTAGCTTTATCACTGGTTACAGTTTGTTTTCTGATTCCCAGACTCTTTTTCTCTCTAAGAAACAATTTTTACTCACTTGCTTACGATTTTTTTTTAAAGATTTTTTATTTACTTATTTGAGAGCGAGAATGAGAGAGAGAGAGAGCACATGAGAGGAGGGAGGGTCAGAGGGAGAAGCAGACTCCCCGCCGAGCAGGGAGCCCGATGTGGGACTCGATCCCGGGACTCCAGGATCATGACCTGAGCCGAAGGCAGTCGCTTAACCAGCTGAGCCACCCGGGCGCCCCTCACTTGCTTACGATTTTAATTGTAATAGGGCAGCCGGCTGAAGCGGCTCGGCCAATCCAGTATGAAGGCACACTGATAACATCCCACTCTTTACACTCGGATCCCAGCATTTCTGACTCAGTGGCTTTCCTCTTGAGTCCGATCTGCACGAACCTCTGTCTGAACTATCTGCGCATGAATTTATACCATCTGAAATACCTGTGGTGTTGACACACTCGTTTGAATCTCCTTAATTTTTAGGCATCTTTTGCAGTTGTGTGGTATGGGCCCAGCTGTGGATATTTTGGTGAAATTCAGGAGAGAGGGAGCCTTCATGAAATTCATCAGGTGCAATTTTGACTCACACTGGACACACCTCCCAGGAGAGATTCCTAGTCCAGTGCACCATGATGCGACACCTGCCCATTTACAAATCTGTGCTTTGGAAGTGTGTGGTTTGGGTTGTGATGCAGACCTAGCAAGGTACCTTGCAGAGAGGAAACGAGAAATCCTTTCTTGGATGACTGGGTCGAAAGGGGCTAGTTCTGTAATCTCTGGGCTTTGTGACTCAAGAGTCCTTCTGTAGTTTATGCTTCCCGTGGGGAAGCATCAGCCTGTTTCACACTGTACTAAAGAACCTATTGATAGTTAAGTAGAGTTTAAAAAAATCAGCTATGGAATTAATTATTTTAAAGTGCTTAGATTAGGAAAAAACGTATTTGGTAAATTTTAACCTTCGTATCTAATTTTGAAGAATTGCTTACCTTTTCATTAATATAAAAGCGGGTGGATTGTGTTACATTTCTGAAGGAGAGAAACTGTGGTGCCAACAGTGCTAATGGACATTTTAAAACCCATTAGGATTTAGGGGCTTCTGGCTGGCTCGGTCGGCAGAGCGTGTAACTCTTGATCTTGGGGTCGTGAATTTGAGATTACTTAAAATTTTTAAATCCACTAGGATTTGGACTTGCAGATAAAATGTATCCTGAAATCTGTACACATCCTTCTGTTTTATTAAAGCAGGAAACAGGAAAAGGAACGAACATTTCTGAACGCCTTCGGTGTTGCTAGGCCAGTTTTCGGCATTCTGCAAGGATTCCTTAATCGTAATGCCCTCTGTAAAGGTCCCAGCTTTGTGCCATTTTACATGGAAGCAGCTGAGGCTGAGAGATGGAGTACCTTGCTTGGGTCATACAGTTCACATAAGTGATAGAGCCTAGATTCAGACTGTGCCCTTTCTTTCTTTCTTTCTTTCTTTCTTTCTTTAAGATTTTATTTATTTATTTGACAGAGAGAGATACAGTGAGAGAGGGAACACAAGCAGGGTGAGTGCTCCTGCTGAGCAGGGAGCCTGATGTGGGGCTCGATCCCAGGACCCTGGGATCATCACCTGAGCTGAAGGCAGACGCTTAACAACTGAGCCACCCAGGCGCCCCCAGACTGTGCCCTTTCTACCGTGTTGTCTCCCAGTTAGCCATGAGCACTCACCTCATGTACAGAGTTGTACCTGTCTCCCACAAAACTCGAGGATTGTCTCTCCCGATCCTTGTCCTTTTCATTAGCTCTTTGACTCTTAGGTATATTAATTACAGCCTGTCCATACAGAGAACAAGTGGAGGGTGGAGAAGGGTGGCAAAAGCCACCACACCTTTGTTGAGCCGAATGATCTTTTTTTTCCCTGAGATTGAGACCTGAGCTGAGATCAGGAGTCAGATGCTTAACTGACTGAGCCGCCCACGTGCCCCAAGCCTAATGATCTTTTAAGAACATTTCAAATACCCACATTAAGAAATAAACTCTTGGGTTTATGTATAGGAGCTAGGTCATTACATTTTGGAAGTAAATGTATTGGTGAATTAAAATGGAATTAAACAAGAAGGGATGACATGTCATTAACGACCATAAAACACTTTTGTTTCATTTCAGTTACGATACCAGAAGTGCTTGGTAGCCAGGCCGCCTTCCCAGAAAGTTCGACCACCTCCTCCGCCAGCAGACTCAGTGACCAGACGGGTCACAACCAATGTAAAACGGGGGGTCTTATCCCTCATTGACACTTTGAAACAGAAACGCCCTGTCACAGAGACACCATAGCTGCGTATGTTAAAGGATTCCGGACTACGTCCCTGAAGATTGAATAGCTACACTAAAGAAGATGAACTGATACCTGGCCTTCCATTCAGTTGCTGATGCTTTGTCTTCAGAGAATTAATCCTTAACCAAACAGTGTTAGACAAGCATGTTCTCTCGTCTTGCCACCATCCTGTGATATGAAAAGAAGCATGACTAATTTTTTTTGCTATCAGTCAGATACATCCTGAGCAGTGGAAGGTCTTTTTCTTACTGTAAATATGGTGACCATTACTTGACTTCACGCACACGGAGAAGAATGTGGCCACAGCCCTCCTCGTGAACTAAAGCTGAGTCCTTGGGGTGAACGACGCCGGAGTTAGTTTCATTGTCTCCTGGATTGGATCTGTCACAAGCACTTGGCCCCGTGTCCAGCCTTGGAGTAGCCACCGCGTGCCAGATACCATTGAATTGCTGTAAAAATAGGATGAGGAGTTTTTGTTTCAGTCTTTCACGAAATCAGACCTTTTGCTTGACAACACCGGCTGTCGGCATCAGTACAGAAACCAGCTGGCGGCTTTCCTTGACGAGCTCTTGGACGCACGGACGCCATTTCAGGTCTACAGCTGCTTGTGGGATGTTGGGGGGGAAAGTGAAACTTCAGAATTGAAAAGCATACCAAGTTTGAGCAATTAAAATCGGGCAAAAAAATAGCTTTTCTAGATGGCTTTCAAACCGATTATTTAAAAAAAAAAAAGGAAAAAGAAAAATGAAAGAAAATCAGAACGCATTTCGGGTGGGACGTATTTCAAACTTCTGCCTTATATTGTACAATGCAGCTAGAGAATTATAGTTCACTATGGCCATTCTCTACACAAACAACATTAAAATGAAATATTTCTCCTACGCCTTTCATCCTTAGTTTGATAATTAGCCAATATGCAATTTGGAGTTGAGGAAATGTCATTTATATTTTGGGTCTCCACCACCACATTATTATGTTCGTCTTCCTAGTGAAACGTTCTGCTAGGATTCCGTATCCAGCTCAGTCTTACCCTCATGCTTTTTGCCCAGAAAGCTGTCTGTCCATCATGTATTGTCCATGGCAACAAATTACATTAAATCGAACCTTTCTGAAGTTATGTATTTAATATTAGAATATGTTGGACTTTACTAGATATATTTTTAAATTTCTATTTTTTTCAAGATTTAAATATTTCATATCAGAGCAAAATATACATAGCAACACTGGACTGCTTAACAAGTTTCCCAAAAAGCATTTTCCTGCTTCTCTTTTCTCACCTATAAAGATACACAGATTTAGACTTTTGTTGACATTATCTTAAAAGGAAGTTGCTAAGGAGACCAATCTAAATATTAGTCTTATTTACTTTTTAATGTCAAAATTAACATTTTAAGACATCGTTATAAAAAGTAACACTTTGTTTATCTACTGCGATGTACTTGTTAAAACGGCTTCCACATTCAAATGGGGTAACCATTTGAGCCTTACGAGGTAGAGAAAGGTACTAAACACATTTGAGAAATAAAAATATGTATAAAGTACCAAGAGGCTCAGTCATGTAGCCTAAGACCTCTCAGAAGTTTGCGAGAGAACCCGGATGAGAACCCACGCTTCCCAGCTCTGTTGTAAGTCATGCTCCTTCCACATCAGTGAGGAAGGGTCTCTCCACAGTTACTCTGGGCATATCCAGTTACTGTCAAGAAATCTTAGAATTCCCTGTAGAAGGAGGGGAATACATCCAAGTCCCTCACACAGCAGTCTTAATCATAAAACCATTGCCCTCTCTCAGTCCAGGCCTCTTTCCCTGCAGTGTGCCTCAAAAGTGTTGTAGAGGACAGGCTCTTACATGCCGTGCGGCCTGTTCAACTTCCGAGATTTTCCAGAGGTGGTGGTACTGGTGGTAGAGATAGTCCTAACTCATGGTACTTAGCCACCAGAGAACATAATGGAGTGGGTGGCCTCCTGACTCTGTTCCCTCAGAATTCTGGAACTGTTTGCTAGCACTCTAGTGTTATGACAAAAAAGATGTCACCCTAGAAATGAATCCTACTTCTCACCAGCCTGTATACTGTTCTACCTGAAATAACCAGTGCCATCGTCAGAAATTATTGCGTTAAGAAAATCCTTAGTTTGCCCTTTGAAAAGCTGTTCAAAATTCAATCACAGTGATCTCTCATCTCGATCTCCACAGTGAAAGGTTTTAGTGTGATAAAAATTCTGAATAAGTCACCCACTTTTATATTGGAAATCTCTACCAGAACCCACTGTTGAATTTTTAAGGCATACCTTTGTTTGTTTTCAGGATCAAGAATACTGAGCTAGCTTTAAGTAGCAAACTGATTGATATATGCAATTATAGGATATGTTAAGATGAATGATAGCCTTTACATACTGAAAACTCTACTGCAGATATTGTTTTGAAAACAGCTTTGCGTCCTAAATGCAATTAATTTTTTGTAAGATTCATTACGTTAAACAGAGCGTTCGGACACTTTCTGCCATGGCCAAAAAGTACGTGTGACGGTGTGTGTGCATTTCTCTGGGAGAGGGCGCCGTGTCTCACCCGACGCTGTGGTCACACTCGGGTTATCTATGCATCTTCTTTAGACCCGCGACGCGGTGAACAGGCGGCCATGTCCGCTATGCCTCGTTCGTCTTACCATTGTTTTAATTAACCTGTTAAATACGGCTTGAAATATTTTTATTTTATTTATTCTATTTTTACTTAAATAGACTGCATTATTGTGTTAATGTATTATCTTTACTGGATAGTATCTCACAGTGTATCCAGGCCTAAGCAATCTCAGTGAACTATACGTCGCCTAAAAGGTGGTTTTGTAATGATTTGTAGTCACATTTTTATTGGAATATGTAGAAGAAATGGCAAAATGCTCAAAGGTCCTTTTATTTTTTAAAAGCAGCTAGACAGACGCAGACTTGCCACCTCATCTGTGTGCTCCTTGGCAGCATCAAGGGGAACAGCCACCAGGCCTCTGGCAAAAACTTTACTTTGCAAACCAAAAGCACTGCTCGGTGCTTTGTTTTTATATCCTTCACAGCACATGTGATCTCCCCTCAAAGACACATGTCCACAAGCCCTTTGTTTCCACCTGGATATAAGATCACCCATAGCTACTTAGGACCATTGTTTTCTGTTTGTGTCTGTCTGGTTGCATGAAGGGACATTAGACCCATTTCCATTAAAGTAAGTTCTTTGTGATAAACTGTTGGCACTGCTACTTTTTTAAAAATCCAGTCTGATCTTATGATGGAGATTTGTAAGACCATTCTACACAAGGTCACTTACTAGAAAACCCGAAATCTTTCCTCCTTTTCTTGTATGACACACTCATTTCATAAGCATTGCAACACAAATTGAAGATTTCACAAACAACGTGAAAAACCTATGCCTAACTGATGCTAGCACAATTTAACTAGTAAAACCATTAGCTCTCTAGTTTGCCAGGCTTCCGTAACCTAATACACAGCTGACATGTGTGTTACACAGCCAGGAAAATGAAGTTTAATTTATTTCAGCTTCAGAGAAAAGATTGGGCTCACACTTTATCAGTGAGAGCGCTCCCTGCCATCCAAAGCAGCTTGTTTATCCTGAAAGAACGTTTGCTTTTGCTTTCTGCCCCGTTTGCTGTTGACCACTTTTACACATTTTAATGTAATATGTTGTGAGAATAAACTTAGCTGCATAAAATGTCTGGCTCATTTATCTGACATCTCAATCCTATAGACCCAGGAATGGAAATGCAAGGGTAGTGTCTCCATGCTAGTCATTTTATTTTCAAACGATTCTTACCTCAAATTAAAGATCATTTTGGTAATGAAAAATTCTGCTTGGATTGTTATTGCAGATTTCCACCTGGTAAGAACTAGAAAGTAACTTGAAATTCTGAGTAATTTATCACACTGGCCCTTACTTGTTGATCAGGAACAACAGCCGGCGGCCTTAGTCACCAACTAGAGACTTCTGGAAGCAGTCTTCCTCGTATCAAGGTAGTCTAGCTTTCATTCTTGTTAAGAACCTGACGTCAAAGAGCGTAGGGGTGCCTGGGTGGCTCAGTCGGTTAAGCATCTGCCTTCGGCTCAGATCCTGATCCCAAGATCCTGGGCTCAAGTCCCGCATCGGGCTCCCTGCTCAGCGGGAGGCCTGCTTCCCCTTCTGCCGCTGCCCCTCCCCCAGCTTGTGCGCACGCGCTCTCTCTCTCTCTCTCTCTCTCTCTCTCTCTGTCAAATAAATAAATAAAATCTTAAAAAAAAAAAAAAAGCTGTACA